TGGTCACTGCAACCAAGGCTGCCCTCAATATCTTAGGCTAAATTAAGTTGCCTTTATTTCCGATTGTAGGAAGTTGGTGGTACGCTCCGTGCACTGGAAGATGCACTTTCAGAAGTTCAAAGAGTTAATACTAGAGCACAAAGTGCCCTTGATCTCAAGAAGCAAAACTTAAAAAGTGAACAGAATAAGTACGAAGAACTGGTAAAAGGTATGCAGGAGGTAAGACATTAGTATATCATTTTCTTTAAACACTAAATTAATTCAGATAGAGGGGGACAGCTGTTTTTTCTTACCTTTTATGATAAGAAAAGTCCTATGATAGGCAAGAATTACATCAGGAAAGCAAAAAGAAATGGTAAAGGCATTGTGGTGTGTAGGTAGTACGTTCCCATTAGAAAAATAATGTGATTCATATACAAAGAAAGTGCTGCTCTTTATGGTTGATAACCTTTTATTAAGCTCAGAAGAGATCCCTATAGCTTCCAAAGTATTGTGCTCTCTGGACATGTGGTATTTTTAAAATTAAAGAGGAAATTTCTACATTGCCTATTTCTGACGGTTGGATTTTTTTTTATGCACAAGAAGCACTGAAGAATACTTTTCTTTTTAGATAATGGAACGAAAGAACTATTTCTCCCAGTTCTTGGGCAGTTGCCATCTCTTCGTGTATTTCATCTATCTGTAGGTCTTCACTGCACTCAGTTATGCACTTGAAAATATGCAAAGACAAATTGTAAGATCACAAAATCTGACAAACGGTCATAGAAATGTAGTTGATGAAACTACTCATAACTCTTCATCTAAACAACATAAATTTAAAGTTAGTTCATGTTCTCTCATCCTTTTGGTTTTTTTTTGCTTTATTTTGGTGAAGGATTCTAAAGCATTAGTGTTAAAGGAAAAAGAAATAAAGAAGATAGAGGAAGAACTAAGTGCTTTACAGGAAGCAAGTGAAAAAGATGCAGATGCTTTAGCTGCAGCACAACAGTATTTTAATGCTGTGTCTGCTGGCTTGTCCAGCAATGACGATGGGGAAGAAGCTACTCTTGCTGAGCAGATGATGGCCTGCAAAAATGAAATCAGCAAAGCAGTCACAGAGGCTAAACAGGTAGGAATAAAAGCTCTGCCTGTCTCAGTCTAGCCTTCATGTTTCTTTTGAAAATTGTCTGAAAGTCAAATAACACACTTGTGAAAGTTCAGTGAAAAGATTTGCAGAATATCTATGCAAGCTATTTTACAACTTGGCATATGCATTAAGGTGACTTTTTGATAAAACAGGTCATTAAGAAAAAAATATAAAAATATCCTTGCATAGATACAGACAAATAGGGAAGAACTATAACATTGCTGTGAGAAAGTGTAGAAACTGGCATTTGAGACATAAAGTAGGACTCACAGTACTTAAATGACTGACAGTATTGAATAGGAAGAAATTAAGACTGCTGTCCACGATACACATTCGTACTATAGAGATTTCTAGAGTAAAACTTTATGGAATCAAAATAAAGATGCCTGAGACTGTGAATGGAGAGTTCAAAAGAAACTCTTTTCTCCTCAGTTGTCTGCTAGTCACATGACTGAAACAGACACTATTTCTTTTGTCTTAAATAGGAAACCTCTGCTCTCATGTGGACTTTAAATTTTTGACGTTGAAAGTGCACCTTGCTTGTCTCACTTAAGGAAAAACTCTTTGGGGAGAATATAACAACAGCTGTGTCCCACATGATTTTACCTTGTTTCTTCTCAGACTCTATTCATGTGCTAAGATGAGTTACTGTATCCAAATACATTATTCATGTTTTTATTTCCAAATCACCTCTGCCCCTTCAAATGCCAAGGCTGCTTTTTCGCATTTCTGCAACCAGCAGAAACTTTCACAAATTATATAAGCACCTTCCTAGTGCAAGCATTCTAAATCTGCACCTACAAGTTTCTCTTTGAAGATCTTCTGGTTATATATTTTCTTACTCCTTACAGGCTCAAATGAAGTTGAATTATGCACAACAAGAATTAAAGACAAAAGAAGCTGAAGTTAAAAAGGTGGATGCAGGCTACAAGAAAGACCAAGCAGCACTTGAAGCTCTCAGAAAAATTAAAGAAAAACTGGAGAACCAAATGAAGGAGCTAAACTATGAAGGTCTGTACAGGCTTCTTGTGCATCATTTTGGGGGAATTTTAAAAAACACATGGAAGTGTGTAAAGGTGCCCACTTTATCACTCCTCAGCTGGATAAGGGAGAGAAAATATGATGAAAGGCTCGTGGGTCAAGAGAAGGACAGGGAGATCATTCAGCCATTACCGTCACTGGCAAAACAGACTTGATTTGGGGAAATCAATTTAATTTATTACCTATCAAATCAGAGTAGGATAATGAGAAATAGGAGCAAACCTTAAAACAGCTTCCCCCCACCCTTCCCATCTTCCTGGCCTGGACTTCATTCCTGATTTTCTCTACCTCCCACCCGCAAGCAGTGCAGGGGGATGGGGAGCCGGGGTAGCAGTCAGTTCATTGTGCATTGCCTCTGCCACTCCCTCCTCACACTCTATCCTGCTCCAGTGTGGGGCCCCTCCCACGGGAGACAGTGCTCCAGGAACTTCTCCATCATGAGTCCTTACCATAGGCTGCAGTTCTTCATGAACTGCTCCAGCCTGGGTCCCTTCCACAGACTGCAGTCCTTCAGGAATAGACTGGGTCCTCCACAGAGTCCCAAGTCCTACTGGCAAACCTGCTCCAGTGTGGCCTCTCCATAGGGTCATAGCTTCCTTCAGGGTGCATCCACCTGCTCCAGTGTGGGGTCCTCCTTGGGCTGCAGGTGTATCTCTGCTCCCCTGTTACCTCCATGGCTGCAGGGGCACAGCTGCCTTACCCTTGCCTTCACCATGGGCTGCCGGAACCTGTATTCCCAAAACCAGCACACAGGTATTTAGCTCACCTTAGGTGTCTGCTGTGGTAAGTTTGCCCTTGGCTGGGGGCCAAACCACACACCCACTCACCCAATCCCTGCCCCCCACCTGAGGATAGGGGAGAAAATTA